TATTATGCATTCTGGGCTAATGAAATATCCAGCAGACAAGACCCAATGTACCCACCCTAATATGCCTCCAAATTGTTTGGTAAATATTCAGGTTTACCCTGTTGATGCTTGCAGCTTAAAATGCAAAACTCCTGAAACGTAGGTTCATTGTTAGATGACAGTGCTTCCCTCCCCACAACTACAGAAGAGATTATTATAAANTCTTTTAGTAAAAAAAAATCTTTTAGAAAACCTCAATTGTTTCTGCAGAAGTGGTGATGCTGGGGAGGGGAAGATTGTGTGACATGATGACTTGTCTGACACTGACATGAATGGCACATTTTATCACCTCGGAGGCCTTCTGGAGTCATAAGGCTAACATTGTTTAGACTTAATTCTCTTTAATCTCTTTGATGTGTTCAGACAACTTTAATATGGTACTTATGAGGATAATATTCACCTCTGCTGATTCCATGAATATAATTAGGAATTCAACTCTCAGCACTCTGATTATGGGTTCAGGCAAATTCAGTTAGGTCTTGGGTCTAATCTTTATGTTTTCCATAACTGGGGCAGGTTTAAGTCTCTTAACATTAACAAATGGATGCCAGGCTAACTCTTACAGATACTAGGCCAAGCATTTCATTCCAAAAGAAATCGGACGAGCAAAGCTTAACATATCACTTTCATTGGGGCACCCTACATTTTATGAACTGACTATCTCTGTGGCATAATGTCTCACCATACATGAATTTTGTGCTTCTACAAACTAATTAACATGGCCAGCAAGCCACAGCCATAACAGGAAGAAGTCACGCTCAGAAGGAGACAAGGTTTTCCAATACGTTCTGCCTAAACTGTGTGCCAGAAAAAAGAAGCAAACCAGTGGTGGCATTCAGCCGGTTCAGACCAGTTTGGGCGAACCGGTAATGGCGACCTGCAGGTGGGCCAGCCCACCTGTCCTGATTCTATGTCATCCTATTTAACCATGTTTTCTAAGCCACACATGCAAAGCAAAGTGCATGTGTGGAAGGCTGCACGCGTGCGCAAAAGGCACATGCTCACAGTTTTAGTGCACGGCAAACCGGTGGCAAAATTATGTGAAGCCCACCTCTGAAGCAAACATATGTTGCCCTGCCAGAACAAGTTAAAGCACAGTCTTCTAAGATCATCCCCAAGAGATGTCTATGGAGATTCTCAGTCATCCAGGTCATGGTTGTTTCAAAGATGCTTTTTCAAAAGGCAACTGGACTTTCTTAGTTTTTCTTTGATGATGTTTTGCTTCTCATCCAAGACATTTCTTCAGGGGAAGTGTACGACACAACATATCTCTTCTTTACACAGTCCTTTCAGCTGTTCCAAAAATGGGTCCACACCAGGGGTGGTTTCCTGCCAGTTCTAACCTCTTCTATAGAAGAGGTTCCACAAATCTACAGTGCTGTTTAGAACTGGTTCCAGCTCCCTCCCCCCGCCCGTCCACANCACACACACACACCGTAGTTAGCTTCCTACAATTCTTCTTACAGTGTGACTCAGTTAGCTTGAAGGATTGGCACAGGTATTTTTTTTCTGATAGTGTACAGTAATATGCCTTACTATACTCAGAAATAGCACAAAATTCTATATTTCCTAAAAATGAATGGGCGAGGCACCTTCACGTGCTTTGAAATGGAAGTGTTGTTCAGTTGTGTATAACCCACTTGTTCCATAAAGACATGGAGCTCATTCCCATAACATAGATTAATAGCACTAAAAGCCAGCAGAACAGAGCAGCCAATTTTCACAGCATTTTGTTCATTATACTGGAAGGATTCTTCTCAGAAGAAGTGGAAATGGTTCTTGAAGAAGGTTCAACCCATGATATCTGAAAGGAAGCAGAGAAATAAGGACTGTGAGATAGATCCTGGTTTGTCAGAAAGAACGCAATGAATCAATAAGGACACTGCTCCATATTCTTGTGAAAAGCACCCATTGACGCGATCCAGTGGGTGAGGACTGTTGAGCACAGTGAATATTGCTATGCCTAAAGGAGCAGTGGGTTTAACATTTTGCTACCACTGGTTCGCCACGTGCGCTCCTTCCATGTATGTGCCCGGCCTTCCACGCATGCGCTTTGCTCATGCATGGGCCTTCTGCACATGTTCCCGGTCTTAAAAAATGTGCCTAAATAGGATGGCATAGAGCCGGAATAGGCAGGTGGGTGGGCTCACCCACGATTTCCACTACTGGTTTGGGCGAACCAGTACGAACCGACTGAATACCACCTTTGGGCTAAAGTCATTTAGAAGTTGGGTTCAACTTGTTTTGTTTGTAATAATCATTAAGCCTTTTTTTTTCCAATCTAGCCATCTTGCATTCTCAATCTAAGTTATTTCATGATGTGGGGACTTCAATTCCTAGAATTCCCCAGCCAGCCATGCTTCCAATATTTGAGGATATGTCACAGAGAGGTGGGAGTCAATCTACTCTCCAGAGTACCTGAAGGCAGGACAAGAAGTAACAGGTGGAAGATCATTAAAAACAGACCCAACCTAGAAATAAGGAGAAATTTCCTGACAGTGAGAACAATTAACCAGTGGAAAGGCTTGCCTGCAGAGGTTGTGGGTGCTCCATCGCTGGAGGTTTTTAAAAAGAAATTGGACAACCATTTGTCTGAAATGGTTTAGGGTTTCCTACTTGAGCAGGAGGTTGGACTAGAAGACCTCCAAGTTCCCTTCCAATCCGTTATTCTGATGTTCTGAGATTATCTGATGCTAAGTGATCAAATGCGTGCTTCTGCAATCATTAAGCTTATCCCTACAATAAGTAGAAACACAACATCACGGAAAGGAAGCATATCAATCTTCATAAGGATGTTTAATATGTCAGGGCGAGACATAAGCAGGGTAAACCAACCTTAGGTAGAGGAATGTGATTTTAATAGATTGGCACATTTTATAAATAATGCACAGTGTGGATAGCTATGAATAATGAAGGTCTATGATCAATTTTGTGTGTGTGATGGCATTTGCATTGTGTAGGCATGTGAACATGAATTCATAAAACTATCCTCTTCTAATTAATTCTACCAATAAAATAATATTTCAATCAAATAATTTTATCGTCAATGCTGGAAATAAGTTCAAAATATTCCATGATTGTNGGAAGGAAGGAAGGAAGGAAATGTGTTTGTGTATGTCTGGTTTCTCATTTATGTATATAAAAGTTTATAGAATAACTCTTGTTACCGCATCCTAACTTGAGAAACTTTTTCCAGAACTGCTCTTTTCTTTTATCTCAATTTACCCTTCATTTCTAACTATGGACAGATTGTGTGAGAGCCTTAAGATATGGAATTTTCAATTCAGCTATTTGGTCATTACAGAAATGACCACATTAATGAGCATTCTTTGCAAGTTTCCAAGCACAAAAATTTCTGCAATGTGTACTTCCCCTGGAGCTTAACATCTGTAATGAACATTTGGATGCTCTGAAAAATGAAACATCATAAATCAGCTCAAGAGTTGAAAAGTCGTCTATTTCATGCTTGAGCAAAATGTTAATGCCCTAACAGTTTTGGGATCTTTAATGGCTAGCTGTTGTGGAGTAGAAGTTCTCCCTAAGTTCTTCACCTGCCTAGTTTTGTCCTTGGTTTCCTGAAAGTTGAGCATAAGCAGCGAAGGTATACAAGCCTTTTCTAAAGCCTTTTTATAAATCAGAGGAGCAATTAGTGGTCACTTTTAACTTCCTAAATTCAAATTCTGAACTATTAACTGTTAGTATCTAATATCCCAACAAAGGAGGTATGAAGTCTTTTTTTATATGAAGAATATCTTTTCACTCACTCTTTTTCTAAACAGATCTAAGGAAAGCTGTACATAATGCATCAAATTTCAACAGAAGAGGGAAATAAAAAAGGGCACAATAGTTTAGTTCCCTCTGTCTGTCTGTCTGTCTGTCTGCCTGCCTGCCTGCCTGCCTCTCTCTCTCTCTCTGATTCTTTCCACCTCTCTCTCTCTTTCTTTCTCTCTTGCTCTCTCTCTCCCCCGCTCTCTCTTCCTGTGTCTCTCTGTCTCTGTGTCTTTCTCTCTCACACTGTGTGTGTGTGTGTGTGTGTGTGTGTGTAAATATTTTTATTAACTGCAGCATATCAGATCTATTGAACAGGAAAATATCCGCTCTAAATCAAAATGTGTTTATATGTTTGCTGTTCAGTGTTGCAATAACTCTTATCAGTTGTTTGACTATTTGTATACTATGTGTATAAAGCCAAGTGTGGCAATTTAGTTCCCTAAATTCTGTTCAGTCATTGTATCACATATGTGATTTAAAATATAGCTGGGTGACCATTGCAGGTTTTTCAGAAAGATAAGATTCCTTGGATTAAGTGTTGTTACGTTGTCACAAAAACATTCACAGCTCTACTGAAAACAGATCTAACCAATAAATCTGTATTTGGAAGCTAGTTGATCTACTCACACTGGCTACAGCGGGAATGTTGAACCTATGACATGTGTGCCAGAGGTGGTACGCAGAGTCATTTGTTAGGGCACGCAAGGCATTGCCCTGTCAGCTCTGGCACTCCTGCGCATGCTGGCCAGTTGACTTCAGCCTTCTTTTAAGGCTGTTATTCACCCTCTGGAGGCTAAAGCTAAAGCCTCCGGAGGACGAAAAACAACTCAAGTTTGGGAACAGACTTCCGGTTTGTGTACTAGGCCATTTTTCGCACTCCCGAAGCTTCAGGGAAGCCTCCTGAAAATTCTGGAGGGCAAAAAAACAGGACTTCCGGTTTGCCCATAGAGCCTTTTATTGCCCCGTAGGGCTATTTTTCGCCCTCCGGAGGCTTCAGGAGGCTTCACTTCCGGAGCACGAAAAATGGCCCTATGGGTAAGTCCATTCCTGAACTTCCAGCACTCAGAGTTGTACAAGTTTAAAAAGGAAATGAGAGGAGGAAACTGGGATAAAGAATAGTGAAATTTTATTTTATAATATGAATTTCCTTTGCCCTGAGTGTCACTCTTTTTTTCTCTCTCTCTGTATAGGAGGAACCGTTTGTGATGGTGTCAGAAAATGTTCTGGGCAAACCAAAGAAATATCAGGGTTTCTCAATTGATGTCCTGGAATCTTTATCTACTTATCTTGGCTTCACATATGAAATTTATGTTGCACCAGATCAAAAATACGGGCTTCCACTGGAGAATGGGACTTGGAATGGACTGATTGGAGAACTAGTATTAAAGGTAAGGAGATTCCTAACCACTGACTGAGAACATATAGTGGGCAAGTGCTCGCATGTAACTTTAATTGCCTAATTAATTCTAGTCATTAGATAAAGTCCAAATAAAAGGAGATTCAATTAAATATTACTGAAATTAATTGAATTCTGAACGTTTCTGTTTTAGTTCTTCGTAACATTCCAAACTGAACTAAGATATTGTAACTATAATTACCATAATAAACTGGAAATAAAATAGAACAGTAATTAGAGCACATTTAATTTTAAACAGATCAATAAAATGGACAACCCATTATAATCTGTATGGGTGTTGCACTGAGTCAGATTTTTCTTGATAGAGTTCAAAAAAAAATTCTCGGCAGTAATTGGAAATCATTTATTTAATTTAATAAAATAAATAAATCCCAATAATTATCTTTCAATAAGCAGATAAAAAAGCATCTTGAGGAAAACCCAGATTGTTGGGGAAAATATGTTGACTTTGTTAACTGCTTAGAGAGGGCTGTAAAACACTCTAAAACACTATAAACGTCTAAGAGCTCCTGCTATTGGTATGCTAACAGCCTTGGTCTACTGATACACATGCAGAATTTCCTGCAAATACTAAGGACAGTACCAATCACTTGCACATTCACTGCAGCACAACTGCAATCCAGTTTTACCCAATATGTGCTATTGCCATTCTGTGCAAGCTAATATAGAAAGTACAGTGCAATATAATATCATTGTTGATCACAATCCCACAAACTACGACGTATACCAATACACATTCAGAATATAATGTACAGGTTTAAACATATATGTGAGGAGGGCATTACAAATGCAGTGGTTATAGCAATAGCCCTTAGACTTATATACCACTTCACAGTGCTTTACAGCCCCCTCTAAGAGTCCTCCAACAATCTGGGTCCTTGTTGGTCCCCAACAATCTGGGTCCTTGTTTTACCCATCTCGGAAGGATAGAAGGCTGAGTCAACCTTGAGCCTGGTGAGATTCGATCTGCCAAACCTCTGGCAGCCAGAAGGTTCAAGGTTCAAGGTTTATTACACTTGTATGCCGCCCTATTCCCGGAGGGACTCGGGGCAGATAACAAACCAAAGGGGAAGGGAATAATACAGACAAAAGCAATAAAAACAGACAAACAAAATACGGAAACAATTTAAAAGCAGNGCTGAGAGACTGTTCGAAGTTACAATAACATTGCAAAAAAAGGGAGTTGCCATCAGTCCTCACATTAGAACTGTTGCAGTGTCCCATCATCAAAATTTGGCTGCATGGCAACTGGCCTGTATTTAAAACCGTTTCCAGCATCCTGGGATCATGTGATCGCCATTTACAACCTTCCCAGCTGGCTTCTGACAAGCTAAGTCAATGGGAGAAGCGAGATTCGCTTAAGGATCTCATGATTCACTCAACAAGTACAGTGATTGACTTAACAACCACAGCAAAAAAGTCATAAAATTTAGTATGATTCACTTAAACAATCATTTGCTTAACAATGGAAATTTTGGTCTCAATTGTAGTAATAAGTCAAGGACTATATAACAACGTATTTACTCAGCTATAAAAGCAATTTGCTATCTACCCTGTTAACCACCCCTATACAACATAGATTAGCCAACATATAGTCAACTAAGTCCCCTTCCAAATGTTTTGGGACTCAGCCCAAACCAGTGTGGCTTGTGGCCAGGGTCCATGGTCAAGCGATGGTGAGAGTGGTCCAAAATATGTACAGATCACCAGATTGTCAGCTCTTTGTATGTGAAATATTTCTGGTGTTTCGTTTATTTTGTATGTCTTCCTGCAAAAGATTTTCTTGGATGTAGATAGATAATGTATTTACCAAGTCCCTCTGATGCACATATTTTCCTTTTCAACAATAATATTAGATTACCAAAAGCAATCTGGTAGCACTTTTTGTAACAAGCAAATTTTATTACAGGGCAGTAAGTTTTGCAAGCTGCAACTAATATCATCAAGTTGCATCAGACTTCTCATACAAATCCCCTTTGTCAAGGTTCCAAATAGCATCCGCCATCAAATAAGAATCCAAGGCTAGAGGTTTCTCAAAATTTAAATTTATTAAAGAAACCATGTTGGCACGTCTAGGAAAACCCGAATCTGAAAGTTTTAAGGTTTTCCCCACCCAGTTGAAAGTTCAAGACTTTGCCCCAGCACCCATGTGTCCATCACATGGACCAATCAGCTACTGTCATGAAAGAAGATTCCTCCCATCCACGTCAGTCCAGGTGCAGGGACAGAATAACCTTGACTCTCCGAGAAGGAATGTTATTATGGCTACATGTCTCCCATGCTCCATGTAGACAATCCTCCCTCCCAATTTCCCACAGTAGAATATGTTTGAGACCCAATACAAAGATGGCTTCCAAGCCTGACACCCTTCTGATTTTGGTCTACTGTAAAGAGCTCTCTTCCTACATAGATTAAATTATGAAAGTATATTCAGGTCCAAAGTTAAGCAGTGATTTGCATGCTGTGAGAAGCAGCTGAATCTAGTCTGTGTGGGACAGATGCAGACATAGCTACTTTTGCAAGTATTGAGACAATATGGCATAGTGGTAAAAGGACAAGATTACAAGTAGTCCTCAACTTACAACCAAAATTGAGCCCAACATTTCTGTCTCTAAGTAAAACATTTGTTAAATGAAGTTTGCCCCCATTTTACAACCTTCCTTGCCACAGTTGTTAAGCGAATCACTGTAGCTGTTAAGTTCGTAACGCTTTTACTAAGTGAATCGCACTCCCCATTGAATTTGCTGGTCAGAAGGTCACAAAAGGTAATCATATGATCCCAAGACACTACAACCTTACATACCCATATTTTTCTGAGTATAAGATGCACCAGAGTATAGGACGCACCAAGATTTTGAAGAGGCAAATTAAAAAAAGTTTTTGCACTCTGCAGACTTCCCAAATACGGCTCGTTTTTTGTCAAAAAAGGGGGGGGGACATACCTAGCCTTTAGGAGGTTCCAGAATGCTTCTGGGGGCTGGGGAGGGCTAAAATGAACAAAAACAGGCTGTTTTATGCTCATTTTAGTCCTCCCCAGCCCCCAGGAGCAAAAAACAGGCTGTTTTATGCTCATTTTAGTCCTCCC